AACTAGTAAGGAATATTCACTCACCGGGGTGTTGCTTCTATGCGGCTTGGGCACTAAGTTGCTGCAACTTCTGGAAGACACTCTGGGTAGACTCTCTGGGGCCCCAGCCTTTCTTGTCCAATGATACGTTGGGAGAGAGTGCGGTGCGCGACTATTTCTCACACGAGGTGAGGCGGGTTTCCTGGAGTTCGACTGCGTCCAGGCTAAAGCGGATATACTAGCGGTGCGCGTGGACACTATTGTCTTAAGCGGTGCGGTTAGGTTAGGTTAGGTTAGCACTATTGTCTTAAGCGGTAGGTGGTAGCGCGGCGGGAAGAGAGTGCGCGTCGGCCGCGGGTGCCTTTTTATTCCTTCGGTTGCGATGATCGCGTAATATTCCAGAATCATCTTCTTTCCCCTCCCAACCCACCAACCCGATGTGTCGATAGGAGGTTATGAATGATATCGTTTGGAAAGGGATAAACGATTTGGCAAGCCTACCTTCAAATAAAAATAAATACGAATGGTTTTCCGCGCAACCATCTCCCCCCGCCCTTGAAGGATTTCCTTCAAAAAAAGCTAAGATCAAACTAACAAAATAACTAACTAACGCTAAGATTACCCAAATTCAACAACAATATCTAATCTAGAAAGCTAATTTAAATTATGGAAGATGCAAGGGGCACAAATTGACAACAGGACGCATGTAAGACCCAACCGTGGTCTTAACACGAGCTACCCTAATTACTCCGTCGGAACCGGGAAAGACCTCTTCGACAATTCCTAATGGCCAATGGACAGGCGGCGTATTCTCTTTGGTGAGCACAACTACAGTTCCTACAGCAACCTAAGGCTCAGTCGCTGTGTTCCATTTTTGTCGAGACTGCAAAGTATGCAAGTATTCCATCCTCCATCGTTTCCAAAACGATTGCACTAACCGGTCTAATAATTTGTGGCGTGTGGAAATGTTAAGTCTATTCTCATCCATATCTGCGGCGGGCAAATACTTTAAAGGCGTTAAATTCAAAAAATGTGCTGGAGTTAGAGCCAGTGGCTCCGAAGGGTCACTAGACAACGTTCGGTAAAGTGGGCGGCTATTCATTACGCATTCAATTTGAGCGAGCACCGTACTTAGCTCTTCGAAGGACAAAATTTGATCTCCTATTACTCGGTATAGTGACTCTTTAGATTCTTAATGTTAGTCTACCAATTGCCCCCAAAATGACTCGCGGCTGGGACGTTCAGAGACCACTCAATGCGGTTCTCGGCTAGAATGTGAGCGAACTACGAATTATAATACTTGATAGCTAAGAGCTCATGTAGTTCTGATAAAATACGTTTTGCACCGACGTAGTTCGTACCGTTATCCGAATACAATTTACTTACAGGGCCACGGTGGGAAAGAAATCTTTTAAATGCACCCATAAAGCCTGCTGTGCTTAGATCACTAACGAGTTCTATATGCACCGCCCTTTTAGTTAGACATACGAACATGCAGACGTAAGCCTTTGTGGATCCTATACCACGCCCGCGAGTGAGCGTGACCTTAAACGGACCAGCGAAATCAGACCCGGTGTGCGTAAAGGGCTTTACTGATTGTATTACTCGACAAGATCTAAGTTCCGCCATTTCCGGAAATAACGGCTTGGGGCGTGCCCGAAAGCAAGCATCTGTGCACCCGATTGCGGATTAAACTACGTGCAGAAAGAATCCAATAATTCTGACGCAAGATCGACATCAGCAAGTCGGGGCCAGCGTGCGAGTTCAATTTATGATGGTAATCGACTAATAAATTCATGATATGGTCTTTACGCGGTAAAACTATAGGGTGCCGTTGGTCGAAACTCAACTGCGAGTTGGACAAGCGTCCACCTACCCTTACAATCCCATCCTGTAAAAATGGCTTAAGGCGTTGAAATGCGCGACTACAAGCTCTATTCGATTGTAATCTTGTAATTTCTTCAGAGAAATGCACACGTTGAAGTTCACGCAATACTAGCGACTCGGCATAGTTGTAATCGGACGCTAAGACATATGAACGTCGCGGTAAAAGCTTTGCGAATCGACAAACGTAAATTACGCTACGCAATAATTTCGACCAAGAGGACAAGCGGTTCGCCAAAGCAATGATTGGAGAAACCTCGCTCGAAACGTTCGCCACTAGAGCGTGTCTCTTCTCTTCCGGCGGTTGTGACACTGACGAAGGTTCGAAATCGGTTATTGGCCATTGCGAGGGATCCAAGTGAACCCAAGAAGGTCCGTGGAACCAAAGCGGGTGGTCCATTATTTGCATCGGGGTGAGTCCACGGGATAGACAATCGGCAGGGTTTTCCGTACCGGACACGTGATAAAAGTTCTGCGTTTCTAACTCGTCTTGGATCTTGGCCACTCGGTTCGCGACAAACGTATCCCAACGGTGAGGTGAAGAATGAACCCAGCATAAGGCGACGGTGAAGTCGGAAAAGGCAAATATCCTTTCTATGTGAACTCTATCCCTACATGCGCTGATAACTGCGGTAATAAACTTGGTGAGTACTAATAATGCGCAAAGCTCTAAGCGCGCCAGAGAGACAACCTTACGGGGGGATACCCTCGACTTAGAACTAATGAGGCTAATCGAATTTCTACCATTATTCTGAACGTGGAAATATACACCGCCCCCGTAAGCTTTCTCGCTGGCGTCTGCAAACCCAACGACCGTGATGACGTTATTTCTATCAACGTTTATATGACGTGGTATTTTAATTTCTCTTAATAAAGGAAGTTCCTCTCTAAAACGCTGCCACACTCGAACAATGCTGTCAGGCGGCGAGTCATCCCAATCGCACTCATATAACCAAAGTTATTTAATCAAAGCTTAGCGTATAATACCACCGGAGCTACGAAACCCATGACATCCCATAATCTAGCAACGCATGACAGTATTGTGCGCTTTGTGCACTTCTCTACGGGCGGATTTACCTTAAGGCTAAACACGTCGGACTCTGGTGACCAGCACAGACCGAGCACCTTGTGTGTATCAGAATCGTCGAATTCCTTTATCGCCGAAAGACGGTGTGATAGTGGGATTGTGTCTAAAACCGGACGCGAATTACTAGTCCACTTGACAAGATCGAATTGACCCGATTTCATGAGCTTTATAACCTCGGCGGTGGTTAGAGTGGCCTCCTCCAAGCTATCGACCGAGTATACAAAATCATTCATATATAAACCGCTCTCAATTGCCCTCTTAGCTTTATGGTAAGAGGGACCTTCATCGTGAGCGAGCTGTCTCACCGTGCGTAACGCATGAAATGGGCTCGACTTTAAACCAAAACAAACGCGGTTAAATTCAAACACCATTAGAGGTTCCTTCGGGTTTAAACGATATAAAATGCGTTGGAACCTACGGTCGCATTCACGGACACCTATGCAAAGAAACATTTGGCGAATATCGGCGGATAGTGCTATACTAAACAAACGAAAATTGGCTATTATATTAAATAAACTACCCTGTAAATTTTGCCCACTATAGAGGATATCGTTAAGCGACATTTGAGTGCTAGTTTTAGCACTAGCGTCGAGCACTACACGTAACTTAGATGTAAGTTTGTCCTCCCTAATGACCCCGTGGTGTAGTATGAAATACGACGGTGTGTCTTCGTAGTTATCTAATTTCGAGGCCACGAGTGATATGTAACCTTCTCTTATATATTCGTTAATGACGCCGTCATAAGCTTCTTTTAACTGGGGTGAAGCGAGCATCCTAGGATAAACGATTTGGCAAGCCTAACGTCAAATAAAAATAAATACGAATGGTTTTCCGCGCAACCACTCGTTATTCAGGTAACAGAAAAGAAGTATTAGTGAAGTGAAAAAGTTATCCAGATAAATTTAACAGTTGGATTTTAGCATCTAGTTTAAAAGAAATATGAATAAAGAAAGTTTTAATTTAACTAGACCACAAATTTTTCAACGAAATTACCAAAAGCTATTAAATTAGAAGGTGAATGGTCGGTTGGAGTTGTCGAGTTTCAATATCCATGTACCGTGTTTACTGTTCAAGATCATGAAAATGTTATATACATTACAAAATCTATGTTAATGCCTAATGAAGATAAACCATCCATAGTGTACTAAAAAAAACATATTCCAGCTAACAACTATGATAACGTTGAGCATATTTTATGAGTGTTAAATGGTATCAGAGAGAACTTGAAATTTCGCTATGATGAAATAACATTTTTTTTAGGATCGTGAGTCGACGAACGTTGTACCACTTCTGACTCAGTGAGCCAGACGAGGTACTACCTATCTACTGATATTTCAGATCAAAGTGGTCAGTACGATAAAACGCTAATTTCATATGTACCCAATATTAAGGCCGTTTTACAAATTTTTTAATTTTACCACATCTTTCTTCTATACGCTATGTGTTAGCGTCGACTTCAGAATGTGGAAATGTTTTATATTTTTCAGATATTTTAATTTCGAGAAGTGTGATATTATTTTTATTAAAAGTTAACTTTTAACTTTACAAACGACAAACGAGCACACAGTCGACCCGATATTAAGTGAATGCTGTGGCCCATAGACATCTTCATTTATCCTCGATTAAGAATCAAATTGCAGATGCGTTGTCACCCGTGAGGGCTGAGATGGAATGCCTAGTTTTCAGTAAAAAATGGTCTCCGGATCTCTACTCTCACCATATGAAACACAGCAGCATTAAGCTGCTATTTTACGCTCGTACTCTGTGAGAGCGTGGTCCTTCCCCGGTCGAGTCGACCCATTCGTGTTACAACCATAATATAGGTTTTATCCACGTATTTGAGTGGTATAAAACCACGTATTTGAATGGGCCCATAGATAATTTAAAAAACTTAGTTGGACTCGGTAGGTGGCACTGTTGTCTTTACCCAGATATCACCCGTGCAAAGCCAGGGCGGTTTGCTAGTCCTTAATATTTCGAAAATAATAAGCAGTTTGATAACAAAAATGCTTTTATACTAGAATAGAAATAAAATTAAACAAAAACTAACCTTTATAGCAAATTCGGCAAGTAATCTTAGGACAGATATTTCTCCAGTCTTCGCCAATATCTCCATAGAGCCAAAACGAAACCAGCTGGGTGACAACCGGAGCAAAATTGCCGCTTGCTCGCGACGTGGACATCCCGAGTAGAATTGGTCTCGGGTTACGAAGTCGTCGCTTACTAATAAGTAATTCATAATAAACGTTTAAAATTCATACGCGATAGCATCATGGCGGGGCCCTTGATTTGAATTTCTATAATCCGTTGCAGCATATTAAAATTCACGGTTGAACGTAGGCTTCCCCTATAGATTACTTCATATATTTGCCATAGTAGCCACGCTTGACAAGTAGTCTTAATTTCTTATTATTAGTGGAAGATGCTGCTGATCTCCTGATCTGTTTCCCTCTGTCGCCTCTTACGACACCCACGGGATGATATGGGGTAGTGGATATTCCTACACCGCCACTACACGGTAATTATTTCTATAGTACGTAATCATAATATACATATAAGCAAAAATTGCTTTGAATTGTGCTATTTTGTTCGACGGCTTCGTAATGCCGTGACAAAAAAATATGAATGAAAGAATATACTTTATTGTACACCACAAAGGTGTAAAGGACCAAAGGTGTAAAGGAATAAATATTAGGTAGGTAGTACAATATATCTATACTTTCATAATACAATATCATGCCATAAGTATAGACAATACATGCAATAAAATAATATATAAATAACTAATACATGAAATGATATAAATTACAAATGATATAATCATATAGTATATATATATATATATATATATATATATATATATATATATGTATACATTACAAAAATCAAACAATAATATAAAGTAGGTAAATGGGCGTTTTCCAAAAAATTGTACATTGCGAATTTGAGTTGTCCCTGACTTTAACAATTTTTTATAATTTTTGTATGCACCGTACTCAAATAAACTGCATATTTATTTAATATTTACATATTTAAGTTATAAAATGAACTATAATTTGCAACCCAACTATCACTGATGATAAAATATTATAAAATGAACAAAAAAAGTGTAAAATATTCGTGTCCCACCTGCATGTTTGGAACTTTCAAGTCTTAGGTAAGATTAGATATATTAAATGGATTCAGTGTTTTAGGCTCTGTAGACGTATTTTGAACTCATAAATATAATTTAGAGCTTTTTATTTTGAATTGGGGCATCAATAGCTCAAAATACTATATTTATGGTATTTCCAGGAATATGACAGAACCAGAATTCCGGCAATAGTCACGGTAAATTTCAATCTTCAACGCAATTTTAATCAACGTTTATCTTGTCTGTAGTGTAGCCCACATTTTGAAGCAAACCTCAGTGTCAACTAAATCTGTGACTAAAGTGGGCGCACTACGGTGGTGCCGAATTGGAGTTCCAGATAGTAACAGGATTTTATGAGGTATGTAACAATTTTCCAAGTTATTTGCCGTAACACAATCACTTTTTTGTTTATAAATCATTATAAAATAAGTCGAAAGTAGTCATAGAATGGACACAACAAGTTGAATTATTGTTAGAAATTTTGTTGGTGTGAAAACGTCATATTCGTTTTGTCACGTATTGTATAGCCGGAATCGTATTGTAACGCACCGGAACTATTAGGCTGGGGTTACATTTGAAAGATGAATGTGAATAAAATAAGTAAATCCTTGTTATATTAATAAATGTGAAAGATTGGATGTTTGGATGTTTGTTACCGCTAATCTTCGAACCAATTTGGATGAAAATTAAAATATAAATAGATCGTGACCCAGAATAAAAATATGGTACTTGGTACACGCTAGTGTAGATTAAATATCATTAACAATGTAAAAAAGTTATCTCTATCAAACCACGTATCCTTTTTGCACAGCAAGATTTTATGTTGAAACCGTTGAAACAGCGCGAAGATATTTGTTAGTAGGTTGTAGGACTCAATATTATAGGACACATTGTATTTTATAAGATGTTCCAAAATAACATCTTAGTGTACTACTACTTTAAACCATCGAACTGAATAACTTTTACTATGGAACGAACTTTAAATCGCGAAAAAATTACAGCTGTTCAATGCTAAAGTTAATACCTACTGTTCTAAACTATATGGAACAGCTGCTTTCTTTTTCGAGATTCAAAAGTTGGTCCTACTGTCAGTTATTCAGTTCGATGGTCTAAAGCACTCCTTAAAGTTTGTAAAGCTAATTTTAAGACACTTTATATAATAACTAGGTTATGAGTATTATTATAATATCAAGTATATAATGTAATACAATGTATGTTAAGTATGTTAAGTATGTCGGTACTGAGGTTTGCTACAATTCAGTAAACATGGCCCTCATGGCAACAGAAAGAGCTAAACGATACCGGGAGAAACTGAAACAAAACCCCGCAAAATTAGAAGAACAACGGTAGAAGCAGTTAGAACGAATTAAAAAGAGTCGAAAAACCATTAGCGATTTGACAGAAGAAGATAAGGAATGTAGAAGAAAACAATGGCGGAAAGAAAAGAAAAAACAGAAAGTAAAAAATAATAAAAAAGAAAACGACTATGCTGTTACCCCAAGTTCATCAAAGTCTCAAAATAGCTACCTGCAGATTAAGTTAAATCAAGTTTTAGTAATAAGTTGTTTTTACTTTAAAATATTATTTTAAAGACTGTTAAATAAAAATGTTCGACGAAATACTACTCTGTGTAAACTTAGCTTAATTTTTTCCAGTTAGTTAGTCACTTAGAATTCCAGATAGTCACTGTGCCATATTTTTACCGAGACCATAAACTAACTCTATTTAAGAAATATTTAGTTAACTGATAATATTTTTGTAGTTTTAGTTCACCCTGAATTTATTATTTTTATTATTTGTAATAGGATCCAATTTAATTTTAAGTAGTAGGTAGAAATGTAATGTTTTAATGACCAAAAGTTCCATCTGTGACGATTTCGGAAGTAAAATGTTTGCTAAGCGATGATTGTAGTTTTTATTGTAGATCTATATTTAGCTGTTTTTTTTTTTCAAGATGTGAAGGTTAATTTTAATAAATAATTAAAACAAATTATCATATTAACTCATATTTTCCATTTTATTTACATATTTCCTTTGTGACGAATCGGAGTACGTTCCTGTGAACTCCTCTATAAAAATAAACATTATCACTTTGTTTTGCATAATACTGATCTATTTATTTTTATTTTTACTAGGTTATCTTTCAAGTCGAGCAAAAAAAGCGGCACGGCCGTACTATACTTTTCTCGAAGCAATTCAGGTCATTTTCGACCCTCTATAACTTCGTAGTGGATAAAACTAAAAGCCTGAAATTTCAGTAACCAAGTAGCATTGTATAAACATTGTATATTTCAAATTTCATTCAATTTGAACCAGAAGTTTAAGAGTTATGACTAGTCAAAGTTTCTTAATTTTGTCACTCACTGACTGACCGATCATCAAAACTCTAAGGCACTTCTAGCAGACATAGAAGTTTTATGCAATTTAGATTGAAATTAGGGTTTAGTATACAAATCAAGAAAAAACTAAAATATTTTTTTTTATTTTGGTCCAGTTTTCTAGATACACCAACTGCATAAATAACTTTGTAATATCATATAAATGTATAGAATTACAAAGTTACATTTGCAGTGAATGAATCAGTGTACATGTATATGTTTAATAGGTGTAGATAGGTACGTTGTTAATTAAATTAAAAATTAAAAATTGTTTATTGCGTTTCAAAAGGTAGTAACAAACAAGTGGCAAGGGCCCCTGTACTGGGTTGGTAAAACCTGTGTTACGGGGTACCCCGCTCTTCCAACAGATACATTTTAACAATTTGAATCATAGGATATTACATATTATATTATTGCTTTAACAATCCTTAAGACATGAATTGATGACATTTTTGATACTTAAGAAAGAGTGAAAGTGTGTGTGTGTGTGTGTGTGTGTGTGTGTGTGGCGTGTGTGTGTGTGTGTGTGTGCGTGCGCGCGCGCGCGCGTGTGTGTGTGTGTTTATCGAATAAGCAGTTCTGTTTCTTCATAGTTGAGGCTAAGCAGAGTAGTTGTTAGCAATTTTTTTTAATTTAGCACAAGTGAAGGGATACATGTTAAGCCTACTATTTAATTTATTATATACATGTTTTTATTGATAGGCAAATTGTTTTTTCTTAAATTTGGTTTTACAATATGGAATATTGAAAACAGGTAAAATTCTACGTTTTAGTGTCTGAGGGGCAGTGTATGGTAAAGTGCTGTGGGTTCGAATGGCACTCTTTAAAATGTACATTTGGCGGGTTGTTAAGATTTTGTAAGAATTGTGTAGTTCATGAGTTGGGAAACGGATTGGTTTAAAGAACATCACTTTCAGTAATGCTCTCTGAGCCCTTTCAAGAGTTATTAAATAGGACTTAGCTGCTCCACCCCACGCTGTAATGCAGTAGCTTAAAACAGATTGGGCTAGTGCTTTATACGTACATATAAGGATTTTATTATCTGCGACATGTCTGAGCCTTCTAAAAACCCACATAAGCTTTCTTACCTTGTCAATGGTACACTCAATTTGTTTGTTCCATATAAGATGCTGGTCAATAGTGATACCTAGATATTTAATAGTAGACGATCTAGCAATTTCAACACATTGACAATTTTTCGCCTGGTGTTGGGGGCAGCTATGAATTTTGAGAGCAAAGTCCGAGTTTGGTAAGATAGATTTTCGTATCGTAAAAGGAACAAATTGGGTTTTTGATACATTAAGTGTTAATAGATGTGATCTTAAGTAATTTGATATATGTCGTAATCCTGATTCAGTCGTAATTCTAAGAGAATCCCAACTCTTTTCACTGAAAATCAGCGCAGTATCATCCGCATAGGTAAATATATCGCAATTGGGAAGTTTGAGACTACAGAGATCATTCACATATATCAAAAACAATGTCGGTCCGAGTACACTGCCTTGTGGAACGCCGTAAGTAATGGGAGATGACTGGCTGATAACGTCACCAAGTTTTAGATGCTGTAGGCGATTCGTTAGGTAGTCTGTGAGTAGCTTATGGGGTGTCCCTCTTATACCAAATGTGATAAAGCTTATGTAATAATATTGGAATTGAAACAGAGTCGAACGCCTTTGCAAGATCCAGGAAGACGCCGACACATTTATAGTGTCGGAAAGTGCCAGAACTGCGTCTTCAGTGGGGACGCCATTTCTGAAGCCAAATTGATTATTTGATAGCAAGCTGTTTTTGTAAAGGAATTCGTTAATGCGGTTGTTAATGAGCTTTTCCAAAATTTTTGCCAGAACTGGAAGTACAGAGATAGGCTTATAATTTTCAATTTCATCTTTATTTCCACTTTTATAGATGGGTGTAACAATAGCTTTTTTTGAAAACAGAGGGGAAACAGCCTTTGTCGAAACAGAGGTTATACACATGACAAAGGACGTGGGTGAGATAATTTTTGGCCATTTTAATAAAAGTAGTAGGAATGTTATCCCACCAGGGGGGCGGAGTCATTAGATAAGTTACAGATGATTGTATTAATTTCTGATGTATCTGTTGCTAAAAGAACTAAAGAATTGCATGAAGAGGGACATTTAATATTATTTATGCCACGAATAGAATTATAAGACATAGGGGACGATAATAAGTTTTCAGCCAGACGTTTACCTAAGTTAGAGAAGTAATTATTAGCACAATTTGCAGCTTCCATCGGTGTGGATTTAAGTGAGAGTAGGTTATGTATGTAGTCATTTTTATTATTGTTTATATTACATATAGATTTATATTTATGATTTATAGTTTTCCACAGTAATTTAGGATTTTTATTAGCCCTCGTTAAATTGTTTCTTTCGTGCATTATTTTAAGTTTTCGAACAAGTTTACTACAATAATTTCTATAACGTGTATAGGTTACTTTCAAGATTTCATTAAACGGATACTTTTTTAGTTTTAGATGAAGTTTGTCGCGATTGCGAAGGCAACGTAAAACTCCAGAGGTTATCCAGGGCTTGATATGTATCTTTCTTGAAGGGGCACTTTTTATAGTTTGGTTGTTTTTAATCGCAGTGGGGATTTTATTAACCAAGACTTTGGCAGCTTGAGAAGGGTCGGTTATTGTTAATATATCAGGTAAGTCCGCCTTAATGTCATTCAAAGTGGCATCAAAATTGATAGAAATTTTGGTTTTTAGTGCCAGATTGCGTCGCAGAGGTTCAAGCATCACATCAAGGATGACTGTACAGTGGTTAGTGGTAGGGTTAGTAAGAACAAGTGATTTAGCAGGGTGAGACGTTTTCAGCATCTGATCCCCATGGCAGCACCTCATCGGGAGAGGAATATTCCTCTCCCGATGAGGTGCTGCCATGGGGCGGCAGTCGCTGGTGGGGCCGCGGAAGTGTGCGAAAGCGTTCCCGTAGCCCTGCCAATATGCGACGAAGGTGGAACACCATGGGGTTTTAGTCGGTGCGAGTCCGACATAACCCGTCCTTGCCCCCGCGAGGCGGGTATGCGTAGGCATTTCCCCATGTTAAAAAAAAAAGGCGTGCAAGTGACGACCTGAGCTATACTAATATTGTCTATAACATTATACGGATAGGACAAATTATTCATAAAAATTTAAGGTAAAATTTAATTTAAGGTTAATTTATTCAGTCCCTACTTAATGGTCCTTCTGTTTTAAGTTATTACGTAATTAGCTAACCTAACAACATTTTATAGTGACCATATCAATGTTAAAAATCTTGTGTTTTAAATATATAGATTGACTTGGCAATCGCACTAAGCGATCTAATTTAATATAATATGTATTACTTGTGAGATACACTGTGTTTTTATGCGATGGCCAAGTCAATCTATATATTTAAAACATAGAAGATTTTTAACATTGATATGGTCACCATAAAATGTTGTTAGGTTAGCTAATTACGTAATAACTTAAAACAGAAGGATCCTTAAGTAGGGAGTGAATAAATTAACCGACTTGGTATTAAATGGATCTCACAACTTTTTATGGTAGAGGAGCTGAGTTGCGAGACTTGTTTTTTTTTTACAAGTTATGTTTTTGATGGCATAGTATATTGTATCGAATGAGATAAGAATTTAAGGTAAAATTTCTATAACACACAAAATTGTTCCGGTTCGTCACGTATATATCTTTTTTGAAAAACGCCCAAATACAATAAATACATAATTACATAATTTTATCCTAACGGTGTTCAAACTATTGAGACAAGTAATGCTCTTTAAGTAGTCGCTTAAAGATTACAATAGTTTGTGCTTCACGTATACGCAAAGGTAGGGCATTCTAGAGCTTAATAGATTGGACAATAAAAGATTTATTAAAAAAAGATGTATTGTGATTTGATACCCTTAAAATGAATTTTCTCGAAGAGTATAAAGGTTTCCCTAGAACCCCTACAAAATTAGACTTCTTTTTTAGATAGGGAGGAGCAGAAGGGTGAAATAATACACAGCACAGAATAGAAAGAACATGCATGTTCCGGTGAAGTCGGATAGGTAACCACTTGAGACGTGAGCGAAGTTGTGAAATATGGTCAAATTTGCACAATTCAAATATAAACCGAATACTAGTATTTTGAAGTTCCTCAAGCTTATTTAGCTGATCCCCAGTTATGTCTACATAGCTTGCGTCAGCATTGTCGAGAATCGGAAGGAAAAGTGACTGTGCGAGCATAATTTTTGTAGGAATCGGAAGAAATGATCGGTGGCGACACAGTGAACAAAGAGCGACAAAGGTTTTCTTACTTACCTCATTCAGTTGGCGTATCCAATTTAAGGAATTATCAAGATAAATACCAAAATTTTTGACATTGTCAAAGTAAGGGATTACAACTCCATCGAATACGATAGGTGGCATGGAAAAATAATCAATTCTTGAGATAAAGCTCTGGCTATCAAAAATGATTGAGATGAGAGCCTGTGACATTTTAGGATTGACATTTAGGCCATATAATTGACTCCACTCATAAATAATATTTGAGACGTTGGGTGCGTTTGGCAGAAAAAAGCGCTAGCAAACGCTTGTAAGCAAAATGGCGATCGTAAGCGGTAAGCGCTGTCAAATCGTAAGTAGCTATTTTCCTCCAGGACACGATGTTAGATTGAACCGGGGAACCTAACCTAATTTAAATATATGTTTGTAAAGTATTCATATTAAAAACTTACCAATCATGAATTTTTAATAACATGTATATGTTTATTCATGTCATTATATTACTTAAAACTAATATTGCACAAAACAACTTATAAACTCTACTTCAAAACAAACAAAATAAATAAGCAAAATGGCGGATTGTGTCAGGGCTACTGAAGTAGCAATCGTGTCCTGGCCGAAAACTATTTCAGCGCTTGTAAACGCTTGCTAGCGCTTTTTTCTGCCAAACGCACCCGTTATTTAATGTAGCGATTGCATTCGGCAAATTCTCAAGAGTTGACCGGGTGTAAATCTGGACGTCATCATCATACATGTTTTAGAGAGAACATATTTTATGAGTGATGGAATTAATGAAAATGGAAAAGAGTAAAGGTAACAACACGCCATTCTGCGGCACGCCTGCAGTAATATCACATCAAGATGAGTGAGTTTCATCGACACAAATACACTGCCGACGGCCACAGAGATAACTTTGAAACCAGTTAATTACTGATGGAGATATGTTAAGAGAACACAACTGACTCAACAGTATATCGAAATCAACGCATTACTGAAATCCAGCAAAGTCATGACTGTGAGTTGTTTATTATCCATACCCAACCGTATGTCATCAGTAATTTTGATTAAAGTAGCAGCCGTACTATAACTAAAAGTACAACATGAAAAAAAGTAAAACATGAAAAAAATACGGTCGACGCTACAGGCCATCTCTGCAACTTCCCGCTAATTTCAAATGCAAAGCTCTTCGAGCTTTTTTTTTTCAATTTTCATTGAAGATTTTCTTAAAAAGTAAAAAAAAAGATATTTATTTAAAAAAATGTTGTCAAGCTCTTACCAACTAAAGCGGCAGCTCTCGTTGTTGGTATGCCCAAATGGTAGCAAGCCTCACTGGCCACCATTTCGCGAATACTCGAGCGTAGCACAGAGCGACCATCGTGCATACGAGCGTAAGGAGTTTGCCCGGAGCCCTTTAACTGCAATTGCCAGCGTTCGCCTTTTCTATTAAAAAAAGTGTTGTTTTAATCCCGCTAATGTAAAACACTAAAATTGAAAAATTGTACTTTTTTGGGGCTTTTATCTTTCATTCAAATAAAATTGAAATGTAGTAGTACACCTACGCAACGGACACCCCCGTGTCCAATGCGCGTCCAGTTAAACTATAATATTGTACCAATATTATAGTTTAACTGGTACAGCACTAGTTACACGTGTCGGTAATTAAAGAAAAGTATAGCAACAATGAACTGCATTGAAAAGCAATGCATAGTCCAAAAATATCCGAAGATGTCCTAATAAATCAATGCGAGTTGCTTGTGACAAATATAGGTTGAGCTCTGATTTAATTTTAATTAATGAATTTGGAAATTAAAATTCACTTATCTATGAAAAGTGATGCTATTTTTTTTTTTGAAATTACACATTTGGCTCCTATTTCCGCACTATTTTATTGTACATGTTGCGCGTCTGTTATATTTTATTTTGTTGAAAATTCACGAGTCACATGCAAGATGTTTACGGGTCGCTACTAAAGTAGGTCGTGCGATCGTTTTCTTAAGTAAGACATATTTGTCTAACGTCTTGACAAAAAGTGTTTGCCTTGCATGAGGCGTCTATTCGGGCTGTGTAGTCGTTGCTCTGTAGTTTGTTCTTAAATTTTTTGCACATTATTAACAATTTTTTTATGCTTATCTATGATTTGGTTTTTTTATTTTTAATCTAATTAATATATAATATACTTATTAGTATAGAAATAAACATTAACCTCTATAATTTTCGAACAAATTAACTTCCCCACCATGAAATCTGTCAAATATTACATATAAATATTACATTTTAAGTGGCGCCGCCGTCGTGGATGCCCTCATTGAGCAAAATCTTCTTATTTTATGGGTATATCCTTTATTGTATTTATTGGTAAATTGCAGCCATTATTATTTGGAAAAAATAAACTGTATTTCTTCAAATATAATATTATGGATTGTTCGAGAACGTATTACAACAAAGCAAACAGTAGATTTTACCTGTTTACATATTCCCCCAGAATATGTGCTCTTCCGTCTCCTAATTGCCCAACCCATAAACCATACTGATGTCCACCATATCTACAAAAACATACATATTTTATTATGAACAAATTAAGCAAGTATATCATAAAAATAACATTTAAGAAAAGTTAAATCACCGATGTGCGACAGGCAAAGCACCGTACGGTAGTTTCCGACCAGTAATAAATTCTAGAAACTCTTCTTGACAAGTTATACCTGGTTCCATATCTAAAATATTTCTAAGAACTTCGTCAGATGCGCAAACTAAGCGGACGTTACGGTCTAGCGGACGTGGTATAACCTAAAACATGTGGGCTAATTTATAGAGATAGAGAGAATAATAAAAGATTAACCGTTTCAAATCTTCATAATTACTATTAAGTTTTCCTGTAACCATTTTTATTAGGCTCACCTCAGAAAATATAACATTCATAACGTTCGCTCGAATTTGCTCGTGATTTTCGTCTATTGGCAGCAAAATATATTTCGGATATTGGTTGAACCTCCACTCTGTTAAATTTGTTTTTAATGCCGTCGATTCCCCCTCCATTTTCCTTATTGAAAGCCAAACTGATAAAAAATTTCTACAATAACATGTCTGAAATTAAAAATGTCCAACTGACAAGAGTCGCTAAAATTTCAGCACTACAGAAATGCAAACAAATAAAGGTACTCTGTGGACAAAACTTTATAAAGTTTACATTGTAATTTAAGTAACTATTATAACTGCCGTCTTGTAGAACAGTAAGAAGGTATGAAAACTTTAGCGAAAAGGACGTTATATCGGTGTTGTGTCGATAAGCATCATATGCTCTATTTATTTCTGTGCGCTCTGTATGAGCGACTACAACATGTATAAAACATCGTTATTGTATAGAATTTTAACCCTTAGTGTGCCTGATGGATTTAAATCACGCTGTATGCATGGTGGGTCGTGCATGCATGGATCGCTTTTTTTTAAATAAATTATTGCTCTAGAGATATCATGCATGATTGCATGTATTTGGTAAAATTATATTTATTATATTCGTAGGAGATATATAAAATGTTGAGCTATTTATGTTTTAAAATTATTTATGAATTAAATGAACGTATTGCTTTTTCAAGCTTATTTGATGTTTGTTAATAAATTACGACATAAAACCACTAAATTAAAAAAAAAACAACATTCACTTACCAAAAAAGTCAGGCCGTATGCCTGCACTTTAGATGCTTGTTACTCGGATGCGAAAACGCGAAGAATAGCGGGAGGGATGGTAAACTGACCTCTTTAAAATGCACGTTTTCTCTCAACCAACTACTTATGTTATGCGAAGAGAGTTCAATACGCTGGAAATAGTTATAGGATCGAGCACAGGACAAAAGATACCATTCCAGTTTGGAACCGTGTGTATTAAACTACAATTCCGAAAATTATAATAATGAATTCTCTTCGTGATCATCATAAATGTCCATATGAAAATTATTATACACATCAAGCTGGGTCAGGAGTTGGAGTAATTTATAAGGGTTCACCATTCCAACGCGGTCATGGTATTGGGAGCTTCTTAGGGGGGTTATTTAGATCAGTTTTACCTTTACTTTCAAGTGGTGCTCGAGTGATTGATAAGGAGACATTAAGCGCTAGAGTAGGACTTTTATCGCATATGGTTCAAGCGCGCCCTATGGAAGCCTCAATAAAAGATCATTTAAAGCAAGTTAGTACGAATTTAAAACGAAAGGCTGATGAGAAAATTGATCAATTTAACATGACAGGATCTGGGTATAAAACTAAAAGAAAACGATTGACCTCATTCATTCCACCATTAACTGCTCAAGTGAAAGCTGCGAAAAAACTTGGTCTAAAACCAAAAAATATCAAAGATATATTTTCAAATTAAATATGTCTTTCCTTCATAATCATCCTTGCGAGTGCGTTAAGTCTGAATTGGATTTGTTTGCACTACCGTCTACACAAACTAGCATTGAAAATGGATTGTGGATTCATTATAAACCAATTTCATCTCTTGGTGATGATGGACCTATCGAGTTTCAAGTTCCTGGGACAGGTGATGACTACATAGATTTGTCTCATACATTACTCCACATAAAGGCAAAAGTATTAAATCAAGATTCAACTAACTTGATATCTACTACAATCGTAGCACATGTAAATAATTGGCAGCATTCACTTTTTAGTCAACCACCTAATAATACCCATGCATATCGAGCATACATGGAAACCCTTTTAAACTATGCTCCCGCTGCTAAACAATCTCATCTTCCTTATAGTCTTTGGTATGAAGATACAGCAGGAAAAATGGATTCTACAGATGGTAAAAACATAGGATTTGTTAAAAGACAGGAATTGATTAGTGAAAGTAAGGAAATAGAAATGATTGGTCATCTTCTCGGTGACATATTCAACCAAGATAAATTTTTAATTAATGGTGTTGAAATGAGTGTTAAATTGGTTCGATCAAGAGAGAGTTTGAATTTAATTGCTGGGTCAAACGATGTAAAGTTTAAAGTTTGAATTACGGACGCAACTCTTATTGTTCGACGAGCACGAATTAATCCAAGTGTATTACTCGCACATCAAAAAGTTTTAGCTTCTACCACTGCTTAATATACTATAACTCGAGCTAAAGTAAAAGTTTTAACAATTCCATCGGGTGTTCAAGGAAAAACTCTTGATAATATATTTTAGGACAGGTACCCAAAAGATGTATAATTTTATTTATGACCAATTCTGTATTTAATGGTTCCCTTACTAAAAATCTATTTAACTTTGAAAACTATGGTATTAATTCTTTCAGCTTATATATTGATGGACAACAAATACCTTCAAAAGCTTTACAACCATCTTTTAATAATAGTATATTTACATCAGCATATCATACTCTATTCTCGGGAACTGGTATTCACTTTCTTAATGAAGGAAATGGAATCTCTTGTGAACAGTATGCCAAAGGTTACTGTCTATCAGCATTTAACTTAACTCCTGATCCTCATTGGAATCTCATAAAGCATGGTAGTATAAGATTGGAAGTATGATTTGAATCCTCACTGATACAAACAATTAACTGTATAGTTTATGCTGAGTTTGATAATATTATTTAGATAGATAAAAACAGAAATGTTACTGTAGTTAAGGTTATAATATGTGTTGTGTGTTAGATTTTGTGTGTTGTGTGTAATGCATTTTGTGTATATGTAACTATGTGAATCGTTATAAAATTAAATGTAACAAATTGTATGCAGTATATTATTTTTTATTTCTTTATAAATCTTCTATTTAATCTAATACAAAACACTGTTCGAGTTTAAAGTTACATCGGACTCTCTCATTAGATCATCAATAATAACAAGATGTGGGTTTTCACCATCAAACATATTAAGATTTGAAATTCCTTGATGATAGTTAACATTTAGTAAATTATATAAAGGTTGCATTTCATCAAAGCACCATGTGATCTGATTACAATCACAATTACATATTTCTGTAACTGATTTTATGAAATTTGTTACAATATTTGACTTCCCACATCCACTTGGTCCTGCCACAATAGCAGTAAACGGATGTATAAAGTGAAACATTACACACGTCTAAAGTTCTAAGGGGTGAAATAAAAAATGAAAGTGTTGGTGTAGGTAAACAATTAATATATATTGTGTACTATAACTAATGTTTTTGGGAAATCAAACAAAATTTATGATTAATTTAAAATTTTATTTTCAAGCAATAACCACTTGTAAAAAAACCCACACTTCATCACAAGAACAATGTAAAATTTTGTGATTATTTTTTGCAAATATATGATTATTACACACATAACGTTTGTTTAAATTTATGACATTTACCAAATCATTGTATTATGGACATTTGTATTCTTCCATATTAAAAATTCTATCATTCGTCGTCAACATTTTTAAAAATTGTTTTTCTGCTGAACCACCTTTGTATGCGATCACTTCGTCTTTGCACAATTTTCTAATGTACCAATTTAATGATAATGATGTTCTCTTGTTTGTAGGCACATTTTAATTTTTTCGGTCACGTCAAAATATGGAATGCCGTGCACGTATGTTTCGCAATAACAAACAGTTTTTTTTGTCTTTTGGCAACAAATAATTGAAAGGATAACTTGGCCGAAACAAATAATGATCGATAAACGCATAATTTTTATTAGATAGTTTTACGTCTAGAATAGCCATTTCTCTACATTGAAAACGTTTATGAAGATATGTAATGTAAAATCCGTCCATGTCGATGATGTATCCAATATTTTTTAGATTTTGTTTCATTATGAACCAAAAACTTAAAAGTATTTACACGTGACTAAAAATATGTTTGTTCCAACAAACTTCACATAACAATACTTCATTACTTCCCATCATCCCATCTTGTCCTTCTGCTCTTGTCTTCCTGTAATTTAAGTAAACAGAATCACATTCACTAATGATCGACTAATGACTGTCATTATTAAAAAAGTATTTTTTAACTTTTTCACTTTCTGCTATTGTCTTGGTATTCGGGGCTAGGAAATGTCAGCCGCGCTGCTTCAATGCGCGTTGGCGAACTTCACATGCCTTCGAAATTTTCTCAGACATACGGGTTTCCTCACGATGTTTTCCTTCACCGCTGAGCACGTGGTAAATCAGCACTTAAAATTGCAATTAACAATTTAATTGGTGCCGGAGGGGATCGACCCGGGTCGCGTACTGTGAAATTTACAGCTTGCGCTAACCGTCTGAGCTACCGCGGCTTAATCATATACACACATAATATTTAAATATAATTTGTTAACACTAAATCATACACACGTAAGAAAATAACAGAAAGAAAAGTAAGTTTGTCAATAGAATAAACACTTACATCCATGGCCTTTGATGCGTTGAAGTAACACAAATGTATTATTGATAGATCCACTGCGGTCAAACGACCATACACTAACTCCATGACTGTATCTGCTCGGTCTTACATAGCACCAGTAAGTAATAATTCTAATATAAAGAATTTCTGCAGTGAAACTGATAGCAACTTTATGCGTCAACAAGCTTATCTCACATTCTGTTGCATATCTCAACATTCCTTCGTGTTGCGTCTTGTTCGATGTATCGATGACTCAAATACGATTTATATATCACAAAAGAAATGTGATTTAATATTTAGAAATAACTATAATTGAGCATTCCTATGTTAGTCATTGAGTAGATTGGTACTGTAATAATCTACTAATAGCAGTAATATCATGGATACACTAGATGTACAACGACATCTGAAAAAGATTTTCTCTTCTTTATGTAAATTTGTATATATAACGCACACCCTCAAACACCCCAATTAGTATATTATGTTATAATCATAATACATATAATATACGATATACTGAATTTTTAGTTAAACATTTATTATATTGTTATATTTTGTTTTTGTATTTTGCTTTTCGATATGAGGAGTTAAACTTAATAACTCCTCGAACTCCTCTTCGCCTATTCTCAGGTATTCGAAATTCATTGGGCTCCAGAACTCCGATAATCCGCATATTTGAGTGATTTTACCTAAGT